TCTCTCACATACAACTGCGTCAACTTCTCCAAGGACCACTTGATATTGACAGGCAAGAAATGTGCACACTTGGTCAATCTGTCAACAATCACCCAAATAGCATCACTATTCCTAGCCAACCTAGGTAATCTCACAATGAAATCCATAATGAAACTATCTCACTTCCATTCTGGAATCTCCATCATCTGTAATAAACCACCCGGAATCTCCACTTCCACTTCCACTTTCATTCTGGAATCTCCAACTTCTATATATAAGGAAGGATATAAACTATATTTCAAAGACGCGCGTGTGTGTGGCAATGGCCATTTAAAAATGTAATATGTTCATTCCAGCTCTAAAAAGGAGAGAGAAACGAAAGAAAGAAAAAAAAATAAAGAAAAAGAAACAAAGTACGGACAAGTAGAGAACTCAACTAGAATGGGAAGTTTAACTAATAACTTTGAAATCGAATCATGAGTATGTATTAAATTGTTTTTAGTTAAATTTGTCTCATATATATATATATATAAGGAGGGTTCAAACGTCACCGGTGTAACTTTTACTAAGTGTTACACCGCTCAATAATTTTAAATTAAATGTGAATTTTGTAAATCTAACCATTAGATTGAAAATTAATATCACTTTATATGTGTATAACAAATTTTGTTAAAATTGAACAACAACTTGAGGGTAATCGAAGTGTTCATATTTTAGTATATTTTGAAATAAATATATTATATCAATTTTGTTTTATAAGAATGAAGTATCAAATCATCTTAGATTAATATAAAAATTTGTATATATGAACTAAGAGTAAAGAACTTTAAATTAACGGTTGGATTTACAAAATTCACATTTAATTTAAAGTTATTGAGCGGTGTAACACTTAGTAAAAGTTACACCGTTTTCGTTTGAACCCTCCTATACATATATATATATATATATATATATATATATATATTGTTTTCTAATTTACTTATATTTTAATTTTAATTGTTATTTTATATATATATATATATGATGGGGTTATAATTATACCAGTGTAACTTTTACTAAGTATTACACCACTCAATAACTTTATATTAAATGTGAATTTTATAAATTCAACCGTTAGATTGAAAGTTCATATCAATTTATATGTGTATATCAAATTTTATTAAAATTGAACAACAACTTAGAGATAATCAAAATGTTCATATTTTAGTATATTTTAAAATGAATATATTATATCAATTTTATTTTATAAGAATGAAGTATCAAATCATCTTGGATTAATATAAAATTTTGTATATATGATCTAAGAGTAAAGAATTTTCAATCTAACGGTTGAGTTTACAAAATTCACATTTAATATAAAATTATTGAACGGTATAATACTTAGTAAAAGTTACACTGGTATTATTAAACCCTCATATATATATATATATAATATATAAGTCATGAAATTAATAAATGATATCATAAAAAAAGTACAAAGCAAGAAATAAAGAATAGAGTATAACATTTTAAATTATACACGTTTTAAATTTTTTAAAAAATATATTAAACATTTTTTTAAAGAAATACCTTTTTAACTTTTTTTTTCTTATAAAAGAATTTTTTTAGATAAAATAAGTATTATTTTTTTTTACTTTTTGATATATTTATCTATTTTTTAAACTAAGTAATTTTTTATTTTTTAAAATACAACTCCTATCTATTTTTTTTTTAAAAAAATTAAGTTTATAAATACTTTTTTAAGTTTAAACCGGCTCACTATAATTTGTTTTAACTATAGGAGTCTATTAAATAATGTTTTCAAAATTAAACTGAACATTAAAATATAAATAAGATTTCATATTATTAAAATAAAAAAAATTATATAACACATATATTCTTCAATAATAAGATATCATAATAAAATATGTATACTTATAAAGTCATGTCCCTCTTATTTTATTGAAATGAGACTTTTTCTCCAACAAATGTACAAACATATTTATTTGTTTTCTATTGGAGAAATAATTTATAAAAACCTCTTTAATATCATTTTGTAAATGAAATAGTGACCTAGTGTCCTATGCTTTAGATCTCTACCCACTTTTATAATATATATTTTTATAGCTAAAGAGATCTCATCCCACTTGGTTAAATAGTATCTACTTTGTTGGATCTTGTTTAAATCTCATTAGTTTGAAACCTATTGTAACAGTACGTTCTACAGCCAAAAATGTGGAGGATCTATTTGCAATAATTACTAATTGATTCGACAAAATTATTCAGAATTAGGATCCACAAATTGACAATTTGCAACACAATATTAAGACAGTAAAACTGCACTAAATCATTTTTTATTTTCTAGGCATTTCTTTCTTGTAATATAAATCATCCTTTGATTTGAAGTGGGTTCTACTATAAATTAAACCCAGAATCTTTGTTTTCCTCGGTCTTTGGAAGTTTTCTTTAATCCTCCATTACAATTAAACTAATCATTTTATTACTCGTCATCATAAATGAAAAAACACTTTATAGGGTTCCCACCATTTAGTCAAAACCCAAAGGTGTGGAAGTCAGAAACTTCCTACTATTACCATCCACTAACCCACTATCATTAATTAGATTTAGACCCTAACAAAAATATTGGGGAAAAGTAAAACAGGAAAAGAAAAAAAAAACATAAAATAGAATCTCATGGAGACATTAAGGGCCACTACACCCCACTAACAACTTTCCACCACCCTTATTGTTATCATAAAATTAAAGACTGCCTCTTACTTGTCAATCCTTACTGCTCTTTGCTTCACAACAATAATATTACCTCTCTTTGTGATGCTACCATTAGTATTACCAAATTAGAAAATCTTTGTGTTACTAATATATTTTCTTTCTGTTCCTACCGTAAGGCCGCTGTCATTATTAAGGTTATCACATCCAAGGTATTGTCCGTTTTGGCGTTCATTTGGCTGTCACAGTTTTGTCCTTTAAAAGGTACATCGGTGAGTTAAGGAGGGAGGATGTTTATAAACCACCCTTAGCTTCAACTCCTAAGTGATGTGAGACTTTTAGGCATACCGGAACAAGCCCCCAGTCGATGCTAAGGGGTAAGAGTGGCCTAGGCCCTCCTTCTAGCGCCAAATGTTCCTATCGTAAGTCCGTTGTCATCGTTAGGGTCACCGCATCCGAGGTATTGTCCGTTTTGGCGCTCATTGAACTATCACATTTTTGTCCTTTAAAAGGCGTCTTGATGAGTTAAGGAAGGATGGTGTTTATAAACTACCCTTAGTCTCGACTCCCAAGCGATGTGAGACTTTTAGACATACCGGAATAGTTTCAATTATATTTTTTATCTACAAGATTCGAAATAACATGATACTTTTATTTTGATCCACAACTTGTTGAGATTCATTATACATTTTTATATATCATGATACTTTTACATAATATAAGTAACACCACGTCTCACATGCTTTTAAGCACATGAACATGTGTGGTCGAAGGATTTTGATTTAATAAAGAAATGTTCCAAACATGGCACTCAAATTGACGCACAACACTACTCATAGGCACTTCACATTACTTAAATTATGGCATGTAGGGTCCTGTCTGCGTGAGAAAAGTTGCTAATCAAACAAAATGCACATATTATTGTTATGTCTCGAGCTATAGATAGCTTATCACCCATCATCATAACCCTATAGCTATCACTCCTCAAATGATCCATCACTTTCAAATTTCTAGTTTCAATGATCATATATATATTGGAAATGGTTCAGCAATGTTTAGTGACTAGTGGATGTAGATGGTCTAGTATCAACACGATTTTCGTTTTGTCATTAATCATTTTCCACTTTCAATGGTGTGTAGTATGCTCCCCAATTCCACATCAACAAACAACTTCCTTTCAGGAAGATCTTTTGCCTCTATCAATTATATATAAAACTCACATAGAACCCATAAATTGAGGTGCCCATTAGCAATATACTGAAATGTGTTTTTACATTTCTTTTTCAAGCAAGAAACTACTTCAGTTCATTAATAATTTTAAGACTCGGTTTTGTTCTTATATTGTGTAGTCTTTGAATTCAATCCTCTTTTTCTAAAATAGAGACAAATTAGTTATGTTTTGACTTTTGACAGAAAACATCAAATGAGGATTGAATTGCTCTCCATGTTTTTCAGCTGAAGAAGAAAAAAAATGTACAACTACCCATAGCTTAAATCCTTTTCAATTTGACATCATAATCTTCAGATAATAGTGTTTGTCATTGACTATTCCACCCATTTGTCGTTGATCGGTTTAGTTTATTTATCACCTGTCATCTTTATTATTATTTTTTTATAATTATTTTTTTTAGGTGAACATGATTATGTTGTATTTTAAAATTGATAAATCATAATAATTAATCATGAAAATACTAGACCAACTTTTATGTCTCAAAACAGATCTTATAACCATTAAACTAAGAGAATGATTTGTTACTTATTAAATTTATTACAACATGTATATTTTAACCTTTCTTTTACATAATTTCAACTCCACAAAATAAATCGTAGATAAAATCTTATTTCATATATTCTTTAATCCTCAAGACATAAAGGATTAAAAAATTCTGAGAATAATTTAATTTAGTTCAAAATATAAATGAATAACATGATAAATACTGCATTGATAAACTTTGCACTAAATTTGGAAAAAAAATTGACAAACTTTTGTAGCTTAATGTAAGGGGACCTAGAGTTAAGCCTAATTATGCAGGGAAAATGATGTAAATAAAATAATAATAAAAACATTTCTTTCATCTTGATAGCTATAAATAATATTTGGATTTTGCTAAAAAAAATTTAATTAATATCCTAAAAACAATATTACAAATGAAAATAGTTTCTAACAAACGAGATTAGTTTATGATCCATTTAGCTAGAAGATATATATGGTATATATATAAAATTTAAAAAAAAAAAAAAACAAAAAAAAAACAAAAAAAAAACAAAAAACTGTTGTCCTAAAAATACTAGTTAGAATTTTCTACATAGCTTGAGTGAGTTGCTTTGAAAATTTGAAATCTTTTGTTTCATTTACTCCATTTCTCATTGGAAATTAGGAATACAGAGCAAGTTACAAACTAAAAAAAAAAACAAAAGAGGGAAGAAATAGAAGATAGAGGGCTACATGAGCAATAAACAAGACCACCTTCCTATAGATTTCATGTAAGAATTTTTTTTTTTCTATTGCTAACGAAATCTTTGACAATGGTGATCAATATGCTATCCTAATCCATTAGTAGCTGCTGGTGAATGGCTTGTAAACTTTAAGATCATCAATGACCCCAGCAATTGAACCTGCTGCAGCAACTAAAGTAATTACAAGGCATGCAGCACTAAGCACCTGTAAGCATATCCATTTTGTGGTCCACTTTGGTATGTTCTTTTGAGTTATATACATCTCCACTGGGAAATACACTGTGAGGGGCCAAAATCCAACGGCTCCCATAAGCCCCACAATGTCATTGAAGAATGGTAGGAGCATGGACAACAGGGTAGATATGATCACAAAAATTGTCCTCCAAATCACTCTGAACATGTTCAACTTGAAGGGTTTGCAACCAAAGATTGGCACTGAAATTTCTTTGTTCACAAAATCACTATTTGGAAACTTTTCTGACGCAGTTTTTTCAACAAATGAGAAAAGGGGTTGGCAGTAAACTTGGTATGCACCAACAAGATGAACCACAATGGCAACATTGGCTATGTCAAGGAGCCAGTAAGGGTTGTAGAAGCCAAAACCAGTGAGAAGGTTTCCAGGGCTTGCATCTCCAAAAGCAGCATAGCCAAAGCAACCGCACATCATGTAGAAAACGGTCGTGACTAAAACACTGACTAATGTAGCCTTTGACATTGTCTTTGACTCTGCTGGAGGGGATTTTATTGTGTCCTGTTTAATAGCAACCACCATTTTAGTTGAGATTTCAAATAAAATTAATGAGGGGTTGATCATGTGAGTGTCACAAAATTCAGCAAAATTAGTTGTACCTGAATTTCTATAAGGATCATAGAGTAGGAGTAGGCAAATGCTATGTTGCCAAGAGCTTGGAAACTCCTCCAAACTTTTTTGGCTTCTGTCACAGTGCTGCCAGCAATTACATTGCCAACAGTTACCCCAGTTAGGCTTCCTTTAATTCCTCCATTTCCTGTTACATGTGTAATTCAAGTCAAGTTTCTACCTTGTAGTTGTATAATCCTCAACTGATAAAAATAAGAGTTCAATAATCATGAACCGATGTTATAAAGTAATTTTATATTATCAATTAATCAGGTAATATTGTTTGTATTATTGTTTAATTATTTATTATAAAATTCAACAATCTTATTTGTGATGGAATGATGTAAAACACTAAAAATAATAAGCTTACAATTACATGAATAGAATCATACCTACAACTTTACCAACACCAAGGCCAAGTCCAATAAATGAGTATGTGAAGGACATGACAGCAGCTACAATAGAGAGCCACCATAACTCATGAAAATCTGGAATTTGGGAGAAGATAATTTCCACAATACCAAATGAAATCATGTAAATATTGCTGTTCATTTTGCATGGATTTTTCCCTCCGCTGCTATGATAACAATTAGACCTTTTGACTGCCCTGTTTGATCAACAACCAAAACACCCAATTAGCACATTTTCCCCACACTTCACAGACACACACATCAATAACTGCACATTTCAACACCACCCATGATTTAAAAACTCACATCATGCTAATGGAAGCTGCTATGGTGTACCCAACTGCCACTCCAAAAAGGTTCACATACTGAACCCACCCACAAATCTTGACCATAGACCCACCTGTAAAACCCAAGATTGAAATCTTTGTTAAAAATAAAAATAAAATTAAGCACCCAAAATTCCTTTTTGATGAAAAAAATTTTCTTTTGTTTAATTGAGTTGAGTAGCATGCGTACCAAGGTAGGATCTAACAGCATGTGTGTAAGTGTAGTTTCTTTTGCCAGTGAGTTCATCACCAGTACGGTAACAAGCAGCTAGAAGCCTTGAGGTGTAATATGTCACAATTGAGAATAGAATCATCACAGCAGGACCAGCAACCCAACCAAGTTGAGCAATAGCCCAAGCCAAAGATAACACCCCAGAACCAATAACAGCTGTTATTATGTGAGCACTTGCAGTCCAAACCGTTCCTGTTTTGTGAAACACAAGTGTGTGCATTAGAAATGAGTAATGACTAATGATGAGTAACTACTTAAAAAAATTATTTATAAAAAATTACATTGATGACAACAAGATTTTGAAGTCTGAACTTAAAATTATCTGCATACTAAACTTAAAATTATCTGCATACTAATTATTAGTAATAGTAATCAACACAAATAATTTTTTTTATGCTTTGAAAAGAAATATATATATATATATATATGTATATGTAAAGTAAGAATTCCTTGACATGAAGTGAATTTGCAGTGAAGTTTAATTGATTACCAGTTCTTTTGAGACGGCCATCATCATCAAAGCACTTGGAACCTACTTGTGGAAGCGTGTCAGTGGAGACTTCAAAGGTTTGTTGATGATTCTTGTTGCCACCGTTCTCAATCATCTTGCTATCACAGAGAGAGATAACTAGAGACACAAACCCAAGTGGGGCTTCAGAGTCGAGACTCAAATTCTAATATGCAGTATTTGAGTTTGAATATGAATTCTATATGATTATGATCAATCAATCAACATAAAAAAGCAAAAAAGGGAAGAAGGGTCTCTCTCAAATATGGATTCAAGGGTTGTTAGGAGGAGGTGACTTTTTGAGAGTATAACTAAAATTTAATGTGTTGCTAAGTTTACAAGTTGAAAGTTTCACACACACACACCCCCCTGGCTCATAAGGATCTTCAGAGTTCAGACAATGTTTCCAAGTTCTGAAGAAATTGGTTTAGGGTGGTGTGATGTGCAGCAAACAAGAGGTGTGTGTATATATATGAAAGTGTTGGGAGGAAGAGTGGTAGTGTTAGAACTTGCAAGAAACATTTCAAACAGTGAGTGCAGTTGCAGCCCCACAACCACATGTCATGATGAGATCATTAGATGATTGATTGATAATGTTGAGTCAAATTTGACCATTTTCAACATATGTCCATATCGATGTAACTAAAATTGAATTAGTTTGTAACTTTGTGGTCATAATGGTTTTATCTCAAAATTAAGTTAATTCATGTTTATAAGTAAGTAAATAATTTTTTAAATGAACTAAAATTTTAAAAATTTGAATAAATTTTCCTAAAACTAATAAATGAGTCATTTTAAGTTCTAAAAAGAAATTGTTTTATTTTTTTATGGGAAGTTTATTCATAGTGTAATTCCTAAATTTTGACATAAGAGAAAAAAAAAAAAAAAAAAAAAAAAAAGTGGATATTTTAATTGTACACGTGTAATGGTGAGTGATCTAGCTAGCTTTGCCGTTACACACCGCTTTGACTCAAACCGTGTGGCTACCTTACCCACTTGTAATGTATTATTCATTTAAATGTGCAAATCTCCCCTACCACACTATTTTGGTAACTTTCACTTTCTCAACTAGGTTTCCTTCACATTTCGGTTTTTTTTTTTTTTTCCCTTTATTCTTTTCGAATTTTCTTTTCTGATAACATTAATTAATGTGGATCATGATAGTTGTCCATTCTTGGGCTATTGCCAACTACAAATTAAAGAAGGCCTAATTTGTGAGAAATTTGTGGGTAGTTTGATACTAATAAATATTTATGATGTCAATCACTACGTAATATATATTCAAAAAACTTTAACTAAAGAGAAAAAATATTATTAATATTTTTTAAAAAAAAATTACACTTGATTAAACGGTGGGTAGGATGTGTTCTAGAATCACATGGTAATTTCTCTTAATTTGTAGTTTTCATGGTTAGTTTGTAACGAGTAATTGCTGTTTGTGTTGTGCCTTTGTGTACAAGATTAAGAAATTCAAATGGATTCCTAAAATAGCCATGCATGTGAAAAGTTCATGTGCTGTTCTGCTCTCTGCTTTAGTTAGGTATTCACAGCATGTACACAAGAGTTATGTACAAATTTAAACATATTTAATTAGTTAAAGTCATGTTTGTGCCTATTAAAGTTGGTAACTATAAGTCGCTGTAAAATTAACTAGTATTGCTGCATAGTAACAAAATTTCTTTAACATTTTCTGAAATAAGTTAAAATACAAAGCTTTATAAATGAAAATAATTAAAAGTAATCATTAAGAAAATGTTTAATTATTGAGAGTTTATGTGAAAAATTGGCACTTGAAAGTAATATTTGAAGGAAATTTTAGTTGGTTTGTGTGTTGTTAGGTTATATTTGAATATCAATTAGTGAGTGACATGAAAAATAAGGAGATTAAGCGCAATAAAGCATAATGGAATTCAAAGAGAGAAAGTTGTCACACTTTTAACATGGAATAGGAAGAAAGAGATTGAATCAATGTTGTACCTTCAAAGTAAAATGATGAAGAAAAAAAAGAAAAAAGAAAAAAGGAACATTGGCTGAAATAGCTTGGAATATTTTTCATCTAACCCTATTATGTCTTTGCCTTTATTACCAAAATGATAATATAAGAATAAATAATAATGTATCAATGTATTGGTGGATGTTATCGTGCGTAAAACTTGTTTCCTTGAAATTCATTCTAATTTAAACACATGCAAAAATTGTTAGTTTATACATGGTGTTCATATGTAAATTGAACATTTTCCCTTTTTCTGAAATGTTTCGTTTGAATGTTTCAAAGACAATGCAACAATAGTAATTGAAAGACTAATAAAAAAAACAAAAATCTTAACCAAACTCTCTTAAACATTCTAATTTTAACACTCTTTATTATTGATTAAAACTTATTAAAATTATAAATTTTGTAGGTCTTATGTATCATTTAACGGGTATCTTCTGATTTAGTGACAAAATTTACTAAAATTTACAATTTTTAACAAATAATAAAGGGTATTAACAAGAAAAATACTACGCTACTTATTTATTAACACTCTTTATTATTCATTGAAATTTATTAAAAATTACATGATATCAATGAGTCTATCCTGATTTAATAATAAGATCTGTCAAAATTTATGATTTTCAACTAATACTAAAAAAAAAAAAGTATTAAGAAGAAAGTGTTGAAATAAATATTTTTAACATTTTTCTGATAAGAAAGTTTTAGGAGAGTGTTCCTATATTTTTCTACTAATATTAATCACTTCACAGACTAATTGAAAGTACAAGTCTCATACCTTCTCCTACAGGGCCTCCTCTTTTTTCTCTATGCACTTTTGATTTCAGCAACCACTTTATTAGAGGAATGCAAATGGCAGAACAAAGCTAATAAACCAATAATAATGGGAAAGAGAGGTAGAATAATACAAGCTACAGTATTAGTGTATTATTGATCAAGTAGCTAGTTCTTGTGCCTCTCTTGGACTACTCTGTCTACCTTATATATAGTGGAACAAAATGTGTTATAGAGCCAACCAAATATCATCATATTTCTCTTTAAAGGACCACCCTTGAAAAAAAAAATTCTCCTATGTAGAGCTACCATCCATTCTTACTGAATGAGAATAAGGTTCTTTTTTTTTTTAATTTTTTTATTGATTATCTGAATTGAATTTTGAATTGCTATACGGCAAGCATATTTATCAAATTTTCAGTCAAATTGTTTCTTTTTGTGATTGTGGTCTTAAAATAATTCATAATACTAGGGGCTAATAGTAGGAAAATATGCATACTGAAACTCCCATAATTGGTGGACATGGGGCATCTAATTCTTATCTTTAGTTCCCAATAACTGAGGAAAGAAAGGGTTATTAACTAAAGTCCCTTCTGGGTATCTTTAAAGATGTTATTGATTTCCTATGACTAATTTTATCATTAGTTTTATTTTATTTAGGGCTGCGTGCAATTCTTTTATTTTAAAAAATAATCGAATTCAATCGGACTGTTTTGTCAAAATGATTCGGTTAATTAAACAATTCTTTTATAAAATAGATTAATAGTTTAAGTTTCTTTAATGGTTTAGCTCGGTGCAATTAAGTTATTCACAGTGAGATTTGGAGGGATCGTGGTTTGCTCCCCTTTTCCCTAAAGTTATTTTAAAAAATATCAAAATTATTATAAAAATATTTTTATGACCCCTTAGAATTTATAAAAAAAATTATAAATTGATAGATGAAAGTTATTGTATTAGTTTATATTTAAGAAAGAAATATATGTATAGTTTATATATAATGTGATATAAAAAATATATATATATATATATTGAAAAAAACTCAAGTCCTACAATTAACAAGAGATAAAATAATTAAAAAATATATAAGTAAAAACGACTCTTATCTAATAAACTGATTTTCTAGGGTTGAATTAGACTCATAACTCATTTTTTAAAATAATATCATAATTATCTAGATTTACTCTAAAATGGTTACCCATCATTAATCACTGCTGTCGGTGGTGGATACTTCAGGGACGAACAAAAAAAAAATGGTTACCCATCATTGATATACAAATATCAAATATAATAGTATTGGACGTGAGATATTTATTGGAAAAAAATTTAAGTCTCACCTATTCTAGATTATTAAAAAGAGTCATCTATCATTTATCAACATACCATGTCAAATAATATTGAACGTAAAGATATATATTAAAAAAAATCAAAATTTCATATCAACTAAAAATAAAATAATTAAAAAATATATAAATAAGTAAAAATAATTTGGTTAATCAAACTAATTTTATAAAATGGTTTAGTATTCGTTTATTCCCTCAAAATAATCAATTTTGTTTGGTTAAATTTTCACACTTTTCTATATATTACTATCTCAACTTTCAGCTTGTTTAATCGGAGGGATCAAGAGAATTAATGCCCTAGCTACCTTGAAATTGAAATGTGCTAATAACTAATCTCTTTTTCAAAGATATCAATATAGAAATAATTTTATACAAATATAATATAAATAGGAGTTTAATTTTGATATATTGTATTTTAATACTATGATAAATTAGAAATTATTCTAAGTATTTTTGTAATTCATTATTATAAAAGTAAGTAAATAATTTTATCATATGATAATTTATGATTAGTTGATAGTAACTTTATTTTACTATCAATAATTTTATCATATGATAATTTTCTTCTTTTGTATAGGTCACATGTACTTTCTCTTTTGTGGATGTTTGAATTGCATTTGATTGAAATGGAAGGCTAATTTCGTTAATCAATTCAAACATTTCAAGAATTGTAATTAGAATCAGAGTTCTAAATTTATTTTGCTATGAACATTTGCATCTCTTCCTCTTCTCTTTTCCAACTTTGATTTTATTTTTGATGATGGTTCGCTCTTGAAATTGGAATTAAATTAGATTAAAATTGATTAATTTAATCTAATCAAGATTAGTAATTACCTAAATCAAATGTTAATTGTACTTGAGTCCATGAAAATTAGTAATTACAAATGTAATTTCAGTTTTTGTGCATAAATGTTAGATGATGATCTAATTGAATTCATGGTGATATGAAATGGTTTGAATTTAAATTTTGTTGATGAATTGTGACAATTTTATCGTATGAACTAAATCATTTGATTAATGACTTCCTTTAAATTTTTATTGACTTTTTGTTTCAATTTATTTATTGATGTGTTTTCAATCAAATCTCCTTTTAATTCGTAATAATTTAGAATTGAATGAATTTGTGTTTCTTAAAGAATGATTTAAGTTTGTCCCTCCACTGCAAAATTAAGAGAAATCTAGTGGTGTTTTGTGTAAATTACTCGACAATACTAAAAAAATGGCGTTGTTGTCTAAACATAAAATATTGTATCATGATTTAATCTAGTGGTGTTTTATGCACATTAGTTGTGGTTTATTGTAAGTTTGTAGGTTGTTACTAATCGGCGGAGTTAAGTATTGATGCTTGTTGTCAAAGATTA